CTGGGAGGAGGACCGGCAGTGTGTGGGCGCATCAGCTGTGAGAGCCGATGGTCAAGATTTCAGGAATTTTCCCAGTAGACTGTAAAATATAACCATTATTAGATATTAAATTATATTAAAATAGAAAATAAGATAAAGCTGTCACTTTCTAGTTTTTCACCATGTTTCTAAAAGTTCCTCTGAAAGTTAAAAACAAACTATATTGTGGAGACAGCACTGAACCTGTCTTCCCAACACTGTTCAGTGGTGTCATGCTAGTTTCAAATGAGCCAGGATCGTGACTTTTACAGTCTGGAAGTCAGCATGTTTTGTACCTCGGCTGTCCCCACCTTCTGGGAGGTTGATGGCTGTCTCTAATGTGCACACTCCATAGAGAGAGGATGAGTTCTTAGCACTTTGCGTGGGAGGAGGGCACAGAACTGAGAGACCCTGTAGTGTCAGGGTCAGTAGGACATAGTGGCTGAATGTGAGAGAAAAGAAAATGAAGCTGAAACCTGGAAAGACGGTATCTGGTTTGAGCAGTTCTCTCTTGTTGCCTTCGGTGAAGCAAACTGTTGCATTATGAAACTTCTCTGTGGAAAGACCCACATGGCCAGGAACTTAAGGTGACTTCTGGCTGAAAGTCAGCAAAGAGCTGACGCTCCTTACCCAACAGCTTGCAAGGTCCTGAGTCCTGCCAGCAGCTATGTGAGCTTCAATTCATATCCTGTCTCAAATGAGCCTTCATATTAGATTCAGTTTGGCTGGCACCTTGCCTACAGCTTCATAAGATGTCTTGAGTTAGAGGATACAGAGAGCTTGTGCCAAACTTTTTGACTCTTTAAGACCATGAGATGAAAAAGGTGTGTTGCTTTAAATTGCCAAGTTTGTATAATTTTTTCTGCAGGGATTTATAAGAAAAACAAATGTTTTAAGTGCTTAGCTTTGGGAAAAACCTTTCTGATTTGGAGTTGAGTTGGCTGCAGTCCGGCTGTCAAGTTCACCAAAGCAGAACTCTGCAGTGGAAACTCTGGCTGGGTCTTGTCCTTCTGGGGACAGGAGAGTGGGTCAGGACTTGACAGGCTGTCCTGGCTTTCCCACGTGCACGGCACGAGGCTTCAGGCTGCTGCTAAGTGTTCAGCAGTGTCCTGCTGAGCAAATGAGGGTAACAGCAGCAGCTGATGTGTGTCCTGCGGTAGGTCCCATCACCGGCCCAGCCACAGCCATGAAGAACTTTTCTGGGTCCTTTTCTTGTGGGTAACCTTTGAGGTGGCCCAGAATTAATGCTTGAACATGAGCTCACTTTCACCAAGTGAGTCGTGCTCTCAAAATTCAACCATTAATTGTTTGATATGAAACGACTGTGTGCTACCAGATTTCTTCTTTCCTGCCTTCACTTGTTTTTAGTAGTGAGGATTAACTAAAAAAACCATAAAGTTTTTCTTTTTAAAAATTAGCACAGAGGAAATCAGAGGGCATATACTTTGAGATGATGGTAATCATAAAAGGAGCTCTGAATGGGATTTGAAAACTAACTGGCAGAACTCATGGGTCAGTGTCTTGCCCCTGGCCCCTCAGGCTGAAGAGAGAAGTTGTTTTCATGACTCTGTGCTCTAGATACGACATCTGAGACAGACATCGGCCACAACAGGAGTCTACTAAAGTGACTTATTTTCCCAGACTGCCATTTTAAAATCAAAAGTCTAATTGCCTATGGGAAATTGAAATAACAAAATGATGTAATTTATTTTTAAAACTAATTACCAGGCTCCTTCTGTATGAGGTCAGGATGAACTCTTCATTTAAACTGAACTCTTAATAACATACTCATTGAAATATTTTTGCTTGAAACAGGCTAATTTAAGTTAGCATTTTTTGGGGGGGAGGGGGTAAGATTCTTTTGCTTATTCAACAAATATTTCCCACATGGCTTTTTGGTACTAGGCACTGTTATTAGTACTCATTCTAGCAAAGAAGAAAAACAATAAATAGACAATTACTGTGTTATATAGTATGAGAATATAATGATATATTGACAATAAATATGATAGATGGAATGATAATTTTATTTAACAAAATTTACTTATGAAATATATAGCAACATCAATCACATTAGTTTTATTTATATATTTTTATCATTTTAAAAAGAATAAAGCCAAGAAAATAAAACAGAATAAAGCCAACCAAAACAGCCAAAACAAACCAGAGTGACATAGGACTTCAAAACAATTTGAAATCAACAATGGTTACCCTAATGTCTCTTGTTGTATTCAAGATAGCTGCAGAAAACTTCAGATGTAGTAAAAATCAAGCAAAACAGAATAGAACCAATAAAAAAAAAACAATGGATGCAATAAAGGACTTTAAAACAAGACAATATTAAATCCAAAATGGTTACCACAATATATCTTGCTATCTTTGAAATAGCTTCCCATGCTATCAGATACAACAAACAACAAAAACAACAAGACAGAACAAAACCCAACCCAACAAAACAATGAAAATGATATAGGACTTCAAAACAAGTTAATAGGGAATTAACAATGGCTACTGCCTTCAGAAGGAAACACCTCATAAATGCTATATTGCATATTGTTATCCTCTAGATGATCCTAGACCCTAGATCTGCAGAATCAGTAAAATACTAAACATCACAAGCATCAAATTATATTTCACTTCAATAGCTATCATCACAGCCTATGTTTCTCTGGACCAGCCAGTTGCTGTGCATGCTGCTGATTTGCAAGGAGGGCTTGCTTTTTGGAGACTTCTTGTTCTCTTCCCCGTATTTCATGAATGGTGCTAAATCACAGGGAAAAGCTGGGGTCTGGCTGTCTCCCTGACAGTGGCAGCCTGCGCATGCTGCTGGTTTGCAGGGAGGGCTTAATAACAATTTTAATGTATTTAAGAATAACTAACATAATTGTAATAATGATATAACACAATGTCAGCTTAGTGATAGATATAGTAAAGCTCAAGAGCTCACAAAGTCTAAGAATTTATTCCTAAAATAAATTCCTAAAAATCTTTCATGCTGAAGTGGAAAAAAATGATTTTTCAGAAAAATGGAGATTATTTAAGATGGGGTCTTTTTCATAGTGAGAAAAGGTAGAGAAACTTTTAAAGAGTGCTATAGAAAACCACTGTTTGTTACTTTTTTCACACACAGAAAAAGCATCAGAGTTGCTGATAGATTTGGTCAGAAACGAGGTCAAGACAGAGTTTCTCTTGTGTTTGTTACTTACAGTCCCATAGTGGCTGCTTCAGATCCAGGTAATGTCTTCACTTCAAAGCAGAAAGACGGGGAAATGGGATGAAACCAGTTATATTTGCTGCTTTTCTCAGGAAAAAGCTTTTTCTCAGGAAACCAAAAGCTTTTCCAGGACCTCAGCAGATTTCTGGCACATATTCTCGCTCAGATTTGTGCACAAGGCTGCTCCTATCTATAAGGGATCCTAGGAGGAGGTGTACTTAACTGTTGTCTGATTTATAGTGGGAGGAATCATGGAAGTAAGAAATGGGGTGTGGGTTTGCACCAGCCAGTTAGCAAAGGTTACCGCCATGATCTCAGGGACTTAGAATTAGGTTATAAAAAGCACTGACTTGTTTTCAAAGTTCTCCTTGCATTTATCAGCTGCCATGATTTCTTCTGCTTTAGAGAAATATAAAAGTATGTTAGTGGCAGCAACCTCTAGATGAACTATGTATTTATTTTAATGAAGAGGCTTTGGGAAAATGGATAAATCGTAACCATTGCATTAAATGAGATCTTTTTGGTCTAAAATGAGGGGAGAAAAACGAGGAATTGAAAATAATGGTCTGGTTCAGTGCTGGGGTAGAAAATAGTGGATTAATAGGATTGTAAGAAATAAGACAAGTTACTAACCCTTGGCAGAGAGAGTCATGATGGTGATAGCCAGGGTATTATTCTCCCAAAGCAAAGTCTGGATATGAGATAGCAGAGAAGAGCAAGGAAAAGGAATGGGTAGTAGCCATCCAGAATGATCGATATGCATTAGAAAACGCAGTTATGGGAGCAGTATGGTGAAAGGATTCCAACATGAATTAAATCTGAGAAATCTTACTTACTGGAGACTCATGGAAGTAACTTGTTGGAGAAGCAGGCACCTCACTGAAGGTCTTGGATGATAGGTCCTGTGTACCAGGCAGGAGGCAACCATGGAAGATAAAAAGCGGAAAGCTCAGGAGTGTGCCTAACTCTCTCCCATATGCTTTTGAGAACAAGGTAAATGGAACGGATCCCATCATTCCTCTTACAAAAGTGAGGTGCATACTCTTTTACTATATGCTTATTGCATTAGTCTGAAATACGCATGCATCAATTGGCAAGGTGCAACAGATGGGGGTGGTAAACTAATGCTTGCATCTATGCTGATCTATTATATAGTGACAATCTTTACCAGTTAGTTGAGAAAGCATTTGGCACATTGAAAGAACCCCACCAAAACACTGGAGAGGTTTACAGGCTGACATATGAGACCTATGGACATCCATCTATGACTGACATGCATAGATAATTTTGTTGGACACAGATGTGTCTTTCAGAGGGATTTCAAGTGTTGGAGCTTAGCTTATGAGGGTTAAGTATGATCACCATGGGTGACTTGAATCTCTCAGGTTCACAATTAGAATCTTAGGCACTTTAGTAGGGTTTTTGAAAGACTGTGTACTAAAGTATTAACAACACTGGGTAGCCTATTGGTTGTAGCCAAGAATCCATGAGACTTGTCTTGTATTTAAAGAAACAATCCAGCAACCACAAGAAAAAGTGACTTCAATCTTTGCTTGTATCTCATGAAGTGTTAAAAAGATTTAGTTTGTAACTTACAATAGTACTTACTAAGATTGTGCCTCTCTTTTCCAGAAAGCTTCTTTACAGAAGCTATCGTTTTCTAAGTCTCTTTCTTCTTCACAGCTTTTTCCGACACCCTAGGCAGTTTGTTTTCTGTCTTCGTCATTGCTATGACTCGTGTCTGGATGTCCCTCCAAAGCCTCATGCAATCGTAGGTGTGCTGTTCAGAGGTGGCTGGATGTAGGTGTGTGGTCCTGAGGTTAAGGATGTGGGATTATTAAATCAGCTCACTGATTTATGTGGCATAGCTCTAGGTGTGGACAATGGGAAGACCGAGCTGGATTGTGGATGACGGCACTCAAACAGTGCGTAGTATAGACAGGCAGGAGGAAGGCAGGCCAGGTGATGCTTCTGTCCTACTTCTCAGCTCTGTTGCTTTCTGCTTCCACCATGTACTGCTTCTCCCCTGCAGCCCTCCTCTGCCAAGTCACCCTGCCTGGAGCCAGCCAACCATAAACGGAAACCGCTGCAAACTGTGAGCTAAATAAACCTTTCCTCCTTTAATTTTGGGTGGTGGGTATTTTGTCTCAGCAATGAAGAAAGTAACCATGACATTTGCTTGCTGATTTCTTCAGCATATTATGTGACAAGTAAACACACAATTTTTGTTTTACTTCTTATTTATTAGTGCATGTTTGAAGTACATAATGTTTTATTCCTTGTGTGTATTAGTATTTGTACATAACACACCTGCATTTCATCTTTCATCCCCCTTTCCTGCTCTCTCTTCATCTCTTGATCCCTTTCCATTTTGAGAAAGATATAGCTCCCTATTTCCTATTAATTTTTGTTTTTATTTTTATCTACAACTTGGATTTCTCACGTAAGACAAATCATGTGATGTTTAAGTTTGGGTGTCTTATTTATTTCACTTAATATTATGTTCTCAAGTGTATCCATTTTTCTATAAATGACTTATTTATCATAATCCAGAGTAGTTATTTATTTTTACTTTTTCCATGGCCCATTTTTCTGGGTTTTTCAGAGAACTTGTAGGAAAGCCAACAGCGGTCCCAATGACTAAGATTACCTGGCTCCTCCAGGACGTGGGCCTCGAAGAAGGCAACACGCTCAGGACATTGCCCAGAGCCAGTGCCTGTTGGTGAATTCATACACCAGAATGTTACACATGGGCCATAGAAGTAGGTGTTTTGCTTTGTTTGAATAACTTGGCAAAAATTAATGATATCTGCTGGTACCGTCAGAAGGGCAGAGATGAACATATATGAAGGAGACAAGGGAGCAGAATTTTGTAACATCAAGTTTCAGGCAAATACAAAAACTTTATTTTGTTTTTATCTTAACTTGAACAGGGAAAGGGTCATGCAAAGTGTTATTGATGTTAATAGGAGACTGTAACAATGGAGAATTGACTAATGAATAAAAAGCGAATTTCTGAGACAGGAATAACAGACAGAAAGGACAGCTGTCATTTTTCCCCTACGTGGCTAGGAGCATCTCAGGCAGAGCCCTCCTCCTAGGCCCAGGGCAGCGGTCCAGACCTTGTTAGGGGGCATGGCTTTGGCTTGCTGAGATGGTGTGCAACAGGAATTTGCTGGAAACAGCCTTTGGAACGCAGAGAAAGGCCTTTCTCTGCTGGGAAGCACAGCACCTCTAAACGCTGTCTGACACCCCGGAGAGGGAACCAGGAGACTCTGTAGGCATCTAGCACTGGTGGAGCCACATGCATTGACCCTCATTTTGTATTTACACTGTGAAAGTATTCCAGGTAGAGCTCAGTGACTTCTAAATCTCAGTTTCTTCCTTGTTAAATAATCAAGCTACTTTTTGCCAGGTAAATTTGAGTCTGTGGGGAAATGGCAAAAATCATTGCAAACTGTTTTCATGTGTTCACATCTATAAGAGTCTTCCTTTGGCTGGAGATTTTGTACTCTGTTAAAATGCAAATACCCCATCGAAGAAATAGCATTTTAAAGCTGTTATCAATCATTCATTGCTTAATGTCAGGAAGGTACTGTCTCCTTTCCAGGCAGTGGTGTTTGATGTGATTGTTGAGGGAAGAAGGGAGATGAGAGGACCCAGGACAGTGAAGGACCCTGGAAAGTTGCTCCCAACCCAAGCAGACAGCGGAGATGGCAGCTGGCAGCCGGGGTGGCAGCCCAACCCCGCCTCCTTCACGGCTTCTGGAGCCCTGTCCTGAGTTCTTCAAAAACATCAAATGCAAAACCCACTTTCTTTGTAGAACATTTCCCTCCGTTTCTTCTCTTTTCTTACTTGCTTCGGGGAGGTTTATGGTTTGAAAAATTAAAGTGTGGATCTATTTTCATTACCAAAGGATTTGCAAACTGAGCGGGCCCGTCTGAGCGCCCATTTGCATTTGCCATCCCTTAAGCTGATTTTCAGTGCTGTGCAGCTATTTTAAATGTTTTCAAGAGCTTCCTTTTTAACTCTTTTCCTTACTTGTATTATGTATTTCTGCAGTTTAAAAAAATTCCATTGCTGATTCGTGGTTGAAAATCTCAATAGCAATCAGCAACTATAATCAAGAGAAGACTATTCGCTCAGGGAATATTGGGCAATTGGAGTGAATATTGAAAGGGCTACTAGGTTAGATGGGGAGGTGACACCATATCTGTGGCCTCAGGGAACGTAATGACTTTGAGGTTTCTTTATGACTGGGGTAGTGGTGCAGTTGGTATTTATAGAAATGGGTTAAAGTACAAAAGAAAAACGTGATGGAAACAACTTCCATTTTTCAATAATACTAGGTCAAACTCTTGTTGGTTACGCATCTTCTGCACATTATGTAGACAAATTATCCATTTTTTAATAATGCTAGGTCAAAAAGCTTGTTGGTTACCCATTTTCTGCAAACTAGGTAGACTATGAGGTCGTTTACGTGGTGTGACTGCAGAACCACACGCTTCCAGGCCTGTCCAGCCGGTCTCTTCCTGGCACCCCTCACATTGTGCTTCGACCTGGAGCACTGCCAGCATTGCTTCTGTGAGGTTTTCCTGGCTCTTCCAAAGTATGGCTTTTTGGGATTCCTATTATAGCTTGTGCATATCATTTTAAAATGATGGTCTCCTTTTAAAATATATTGTCATTTAATCTGTTTATTTATTGGAAAATGTATATGCATGAGTATTTGGGGAACCAGTGGTGGGATGTTATGGCTTGTGTCTAGATGTTCCCCCAAAGCCTCATGTGGTCACAGGTGGGACTTTTCAAGTAATGGCTGAAACTAGAGAGTGTGATTGATTAATGGTACAAAGCTAGGATTAAGGGTACTTGGTTAAGGATGGGTGATTACTAAATCAGTCCATTGACTGCACTAATTTTGGTAGCTTAGATATAAAATGCCTGGCATGGATATAAAAGCACAAAAAAAGCTGGTAAGTTTCCTTGTTTTGCAACCTCTGACTGCCATTAACTGTTTCTCCTCTGTGATGCCCCTCTGCCATGCCACTCTGCCTTGGAGCCAGCCAATTATGGACTGAAACCTCTGCAAATGATGGACTAAATAATCCTTTCCTTCTTCAGCTTTGGGTGTCAGATATTTGGTCCTAGCACCCGGAAAAATAATCAAGACAGGTTATCTTTATAGCTTGTATAAAATGGTGGTCTTCTTTTAAAACATGTAATTTAATCTGCTTACATGTCTAGCTTCCCACTGGCTTAAAAAATTGTTGCCTACAAGTAGTACGTCTTTATTATCTTTGAGTCCTACTTTAAGCTTTGTTGAATTAACTAGAGTAATAATGGGTACAAATTACAGACAGATTTGCAGGATTCTAAGTAGCCAAAACTGTTTATGCTTTTTGAGTTGACTCTTAGGAAGTTAGTGGTGAGCACTGGGGTTTGATGGTGAAGAATTCCTCCAAGTAGGGATAATTATGCATGTCTAATCCTAGACCCTTTGTTAGCTCTAGTCTGTGTATTTGTGGAAAAACAATAATTATGATTGACTCTCTGTATTTTTGTGTGTGTATACATTCATTTCCATAAGTTCATCTTTTCATACCTCTTTTTGATCTTTTAATAGTAATAGGAGTTTTACTTATATAAACTTGTGCTTGAGAACCTAACCTATAAGACAGAGGAAAAGCAGAGAACCTATGGCCAAAATAGAGGCAGAGAATGTGAAGTTTTTGAAACTGGTTCCTTGTCATCACTGGGTGTGGTAGATCCTGAGTCTCCAAGGAACCCAGTTTGAAAAGCACTGATTTCGACAGAGTGAACACATGAGAATAAATCTTTTCCAAATACATCATACAGAAATGGGTTATATATGTACAAGGTTTTCATATGACTCAGAGCTCTGAACCTCCAAATCATTTTTACAGCTTAAAAATTGGTATTGAAATAATCACTCAGGTTTAATTTTAGGAAACTTCGGTCAATCAGTATGTATGACTTTTAAGTTTAATCCTTCCTTTGGGAATCACAGAAGCTCCTTCCACTCCAACGCTCTTTGATTTTCTGATTGTGAAGGGCAAGGTTAGGAAGAAATAAACAAGGTGACTAGGTTCCAAGGGCTAGCTTTCTTGGCACAAATGAATAATTGGAAAGCCAGCATAATCAAAGTAATTTCATCCATCATGTACAGAAAGGGAAATAGAATTCAGGTTATTAAGGTTGCATGAAACTGCTTTTTGAATGTATGTACATATTTCTTCCTAGGGGCTAGATAACATTTCCTATTTTTATTTCTAAAAGGAGTTATGGAAAAAAGACAACTGAAAATATAACAAGCACTGTGGCCTCAAAGAAAAACTAGAATAATTCATTAAAGAAAAGAAAAGGGTTTTAGGTTCCCATTTTAAAAGAACAGCTTGCAAACCAGGACATTTGCTCTCAGCCCCTGAAGTACACCAGGGCCACGCGCCTATGAAGTCCTCATGGCTGCTGCTGACAGCAGGCTCAGCCCATCAGATCCTCGGTCTGGATGAAGGAGTCAGGTAATTTAATTTGGAGTTTCACAGTTGCCTACGTGTATGACCTTTTGGAGTTTGAGGAAAACAAGATGCAGAAGTGGAGGAAAAGTGAACCAAAGAAGGCCAGCTCCACCACACGGAAGAGCCTGAGACTGCTAACTGGGAGCAAGAAAGGGGACCCACAGGTACGTGCCTACGACTCCGATCGAGAGAGGGAACTCTCCCTGTGGGATAGATGTGTTTGTTCTGTTTCTTCTTTAAATCTAGGTTGACCTTTAATGATTCATGGGGAAGTGGATCCAAGATAGAGTCCATGTTTCTTAGTCTCATTCTTTAAAAAAAACTAAGCTGGAGAATTCTCTTTGCATTGGAATTAAAGCTTCAAAACTAAGAATTTTGTTTCTTTTATTTATGGCTCTGTTTAGAGCACTTGAAGTAATAGTAGGTGTTCAGTAAATGATTCTTGACTAAATGAATGAATCAATAAAATAACCTCTATTGCTTTCTTTTCTCCTTTTTATTTTTCTTTACTGAAAGAAAAGAAGATTGGAGCCAGGAGAGAAAGCGCGTTCAGGAGAGCTCTGATGCCCGGGGCTACTGGGCTGGGTGAGGGGAGTGCGTGGCGTTTCCCCAGCTGTGCACAGGCCCGAATTGCTCAGCTTTCTTTGTTCTGTTTCATTCGCGGTCATTAGCAGCCACTGCTCTCTGCTTCCAACAGCAGCCTTCTCTGTCTTCTGCTTACTGTTTTTGATTTGTGTTTCCTAAAACCTTGAAAGGCTTGGAGATGGACTAGAGAACACAGAATCTGTTAAATTGACTACTTTGTCTTATATATGCCTGCAGGTGATGGTCATGGGCACAGGCATTCTTTTATTTTTTAATTAATGAGAAATAAAAAGCAGGGAAAAATCTTAAAGGTCATTTTGCACACAAGTAACTCCACACAGGAAGGCCAGTCCTTCCCTTACATATGCATTTGAGATTAATTTTGGCACCGTCCTTCAAAGCCCAAGTGCATGAATTTCATGAAGTTTTTCCCAATTGTTCTCATTTTAATTTTCCTTCGCTGAACAAGTATGATATTAATTTATTACTTAATCATGAATTATGGCATACAATTCCCTAACTGATGTTTGTGGTTTTCCCTCCAGCTAGATTTTGATTTCCTTGAAGACAGAGCCATGCTCTAGTGTGGTGAAGTATCCATCGCCTGCTGCTCCTTGCGCATTGCCCTGTGGACAGAGAGTTCTTGCTGGCTCACCAGTTCACTCCTCGTGCCAAATGCCCAGGGAGATCTAACGCAGCATCTACACCAGGCAAGCAAAGGACTTAAGCCATTCTCGTCTGCTAGAGAGCAGTGTGCACTGTGGAGTCACCACTGTATCCTGTCTGTCCTCCACTTTGTTCCAGATGAGACAGGAGGGTAGGAAAAGCTTTGCTTTTAGGACAGGCAGGAGACATGTATGCAGTCATCTTCTTCCAGCTTGGAAGTCAGCATGTGAAACCAAGGCGGATAACTTCTGCTTCATGTCTCAGAACTTCACAAGCAACAGCCACTCAACATAAAGCAAAGCAAAGCAAAATAAAACCCAACCTCAGGATCTAAGAACTCAGATTACTGTTATTTAACTATTGCTATTCATAGCATTTGCATTGTCCCCTGGGCTGAAATAAATACTAGACATCTTAATTACATATAATGTCAGTTTCTCTAACTCATTACATTCCACAGGGTCCGTAAACCTTTTTAATGAGACTATTTCTGGCTTCTTCATTTTTTTTCTTTCATCTTCTCATCTTATCTGGGTTTGCAAAAGCATGAATACACACACACACACACACACACACACACACACACACACACTCTGAGACAGACAGACAGAGAAAAGGGAGAGACTTGGCATTATTTTCAAAGTCTGACAAGCATTATTTGGCACTTTAATTTTTACAAGAAAAGTTTCAGGTTTCCTGTGACTTTCCTGTTATTGCCAAGAGAGTTTACCCATAATAACAAAATATGATACAGTTAAAATATAGCTGTGTAAGAAATATTTTTGGAGTAGTGTCTCCTTTTTCTAATCTGTAAACCTCAAAACTATAAAAAAAGTCATGAAATTAATTTCTTACTATTGAAGATATTTTCTACACATAAGTAAACAATAAGAGTCCTTCTACTGAAAGAATCATTTTCACATTTTGTTTGTTTTTCCAGCAAATGTAATCCATTTAGATAAAGTCGGCCTGATTTTGCCAATGAGGGAAGCCTGAATCATTTAGATTTTCTGAGAACATTGGTATTTTAATAAATGTTCTCTCCAAGCACACTCCCAAGGATGTCTCACAGAGAATCCATTTCTCTGACTACCGTAGCTGAGCTGCTCAGATATCTGAAGATTACTCAGAACAGACACAATTGTAGTTTTGTTCCTTTATGTTTTTCTGCCTGGCACATGGTTACTGCTGGCACGTTTCCTGGCACATGTCTGCTCCACAAGAAATGCCTTTTGAGGAACAAATGGATCACGCTATAAGTCTCTGCTTACTGTTATCATAGTTTGTGAACATCTCTGCCTTTTAAAAGTATACCAAATGTAATCTAACTTTTTATAATGACAGCTTAGGCCACCATGCTGAGTTGTAGTGCCCTCAGGAGTCTGTGGTAGTATGTAAAATGTTTTTATTTTGTACTAAATGATCCTAAGCTGCTTTTGTTTGTGTGTAGTTGGCCTCCCCATTCCCACCCTTGCTGTGGGCCATCAGCTCACTCTTGCTGATTGATGCGCCTGCAGTCCTCCCCTTTTCCCTTCCCTTCCTTTCCCTCCCCTCCTCCATTCTCCCCTCTTCCTTTCCTCTGTCTGTCTCTGTCTTTGTCTTTTTCTCTGTCTCTTTCTCTCTGCCGTAGTCCTTTTATTTTAATTTACTGTTCTCATCGGGCTGTTCAATTGGAAGCCACATCAACAAACCTTTAAAATATTCTGAAGAGGAAACTCAGGGCCCTAGGACATTTTTTTTTCCATGAAGTTCATTACCAAGGGTGGGCTCTGTGATGCAGATGTTGGCTGCTCAGAGGTCTCTTTTGTTTGTTTCTTGATTCTCAGCTATTTTCAATAAAGCAAGTGCCAAGTAAACAAAATGCTGATGTATCTTTAAAGAGAAGTGTGATTTCTTTTTTCTACATTCCAATTTTGTGTACTTCTTGGTGATTAAGAATGGTCAGCAAAATTTTCTGTTTTTGTGCTTCTCCTTTCAGAAAGGCATTGGTTGGGAATAACTCAAAAACTGAAAAAGCTACTGTATTAGTCATGTTCTTGTCACCGGGACAAAATAACTGATACTTGCAGCTTAAAGGAGGAGAGGTTTATTGTGGCTCATGGCTTTAGAGAGTTTAGTCTGTGGCTGGCTAGCAGAAATGGCATGGTAGCATGGCACAGACTGAGAGAGAGAGAGAGAGAGGAGAGAGAGAGAGAGAATCTCTAGCTTACACTCCAAGTTACCCACATTCTTCAACCAGGATCCAGCTTCTAACAATTCATTTGGCCTTGAATTCATCAGTGAATCAATCCACTGATGAGAAGAGTTCCTTTGTCATCCAACCACCTCCCAAACACACGAGACTTTTGGGAAACATTTTAGATGTAAACCATAACAGCAGCTTGCAACAAGTTTGAACTCACTAGATTTATAAAAGCTAAAAAAAGTTAGTCCCTGTGCATTTGAACTTTCAGAGTAGAAAAGGGGAGAATTCCTGACTTCATAAGAAAAATAAGGCAGGTATTTAATCTACCTTTATTACTCTGATTTTACAGAGGCTGAGAGTGAAGCATTTGCTATGATGTGGCTTCTAGGGCATGACTTTAGCTTTTTACTGACATTAAATTCCACTCTTTTTGTAATCCCATGGGCATGCTCAGCCTCCTCTCAGTGATGGCCTTCCAGATGACCATATTGATAGGATTTTAAGCATGGTAAAAGAAAGAGAATATAAAGTAAAAATGGCCTTTATTCTAAGAACTCAGAGAGAAACCCCATGACTGGCAGGGGCCTGGCTTTCTCTGCTGGACACGTGGTGTGGAGGGAACACACAGAGCTTTTGTCTGGGGTGGTGCCTAGTGGTGGCGTTGCTGATGCACAAGTAGCTGATTGCAGCTCTTTTCACACCACAGGTAAGTTGCCTAAAGGCGGGGAAAATGACCTCCAGGTAAACATCCCTTGGTCCTGCCTCCCACTGCTGTAATGTCCTATGTAGGGAAAAATCCTTTCATTCTTGTCTTTTTATTGTTAGAAAAAGGGTGAAGTCTCTCTCTCTTACTACTTCCTGCTGATTGGGGTTTAAGAAGGTGGATGGGATGAAGGTTGATGCCCATGAAGAAGCTGGTGCCAGGTGTTTCAGCCAGAACAACTTTATCGTTGGTGAATGCCTGCACGTTAGACTGGAAAAACAAAAAGACAAGGTGCATTGAGGAGGTCATATTTAAGGACCCAGGTGACGTAGAAGGAACTGTGTCTTTGATTTAGATATGTCATTTTATCAGGACCACGGTGAGATAGAATCATTGCCATGGTGAAGTAGAATTCTGAAAAATAAGTGTAGTTAGGAGGAGTGAACTTATGAGAGGTGATTATTCTAGGAGTGAAGTTATGAGAGGTGACTATTCCCCCATCTGAAAGTGTAGAAGTTAAGAGTGTAGGTAGGTAGGGCTTATCTCTGGTCCAGCAGTTGAGCTGGAAAGAATAAGAGGGGTGGTGAGGGCCATGGCTGTGTCACATAAGGAAGGTAAGAGCCCAGGCCTTCAGGGGTCTCACTTTGACTAAACAGCTGAGGGTGGAGAGAACTAAGACAGTTGTCATATAGAACAACATAAGGACAATCTTACACATGATGTGGGAGGAGTCCTGCTGTAAAAAAGATAATTAATAGAATGTAAGAAATTAGGAACCAAATTGGATAATAAAACATGACTTTAGCCTGAGAGTTGTGGCTGTGAGGCCTTGGTGAGGCAGAGATGGGTGGGCGACAGAAGATGAGATGACCACTCAGGATGGTTAGATTTAGGGCTGGGAGGGCACCGCTTAGCCTGAGTGATGTGGAACCAGGATGGCAGTCCAGCAACTTTGACTGCTGTAGGGGTTGCCAAGAAGACCAAGTAGGGGCCGTTGCACCTTGGTTGTAGTCCTGTGGATTTAGAACATTTGAGATAAATTAGATCTCCTGGGGACACGGGAGGATCTGGTTTGGCCCCTTTAGAGAGCTGAGGAAGGCAGAGATAAGCATGTTATCCTAAAAGGTGTTGGAGGAAGGAGAGGATTGGGATATAGTCAGCAAGAGGAGGGGGACTTTGGGGAGTAGGAAGACTGTGAGGTAGGAACAGTCAGCCATACATAAGGTTCAAAAGGACTTAAAAATGTAGGAGCCCAGGAAGTGCCCTGAGCTTGGCTAAAGTTAAGGACAGAAGTTGGGGCCAAGGTTGGTGTAGTTCTAAAATGAGATTTTTAAGGTGTGTCTTTATGAGGCCATTTGCCTTTTCTAATTTTCCTGAGGATTGTGGATGGTACAGAATGTATAGGTGCCAGGTGATGTGTAAGCTTGATGATACCTGTTGAGTGATTTGAGAAATAAAGGCTGGACCATTATCTGACTGAATACTCTGAGGTAGGCCAAACCTTAGGATGCTATATTCATCAAGAGAAAGTACAAACAAAGATGAGAAGATATTTGAGAGTTTTGTAGTGTAAAACTCAGGTAGGTGTAAAACCTACCTGTCAGTCCTGACCAGGGGTGTGTCCTCGAAATTGATGAGTAGGAAAGGAAGGGGGTGGTATGTGTCCCTGACGATAGGTCCTAGCACAGAGATGACAGGTGTGAGTAATCTGAAGAATGGTAGCCTTTAGAGAAGGATGTGTGACTACTGGGGCTGAATTTGTATAGGGCCTGCTATCCTATATGAAAACAGTTATGTAAGTCAGCAATGATGTCTAAAACCTGTTGATTTGGGAGAACAAGTTTTGATCCCTGGAAAATCCATCCCTGAGTGTTGTGCATGTAACTTGGCTTATGAAGTAGCTGTAGCTGCTCTGGTGAATAATTAGGTTGAGGTAGACTGTTTGGGAGAAGATGAGAAGGATGCGGCCTTTGTGAAGTTAACTTGGCTTGTGAATCTGCAAAAGCATTGCCTTGAGCAATGGGATCTGCAGAATTCTGGTGTCCCCTGTAATGAATAACTGCTGCCTGCTTTGGGAGCAGTGCTGCCTCTAGGAGTTTAAGGATAAGAGGTACATTAATGATGGGGGTGCCCTGAGAGTTAATAAAACCCCATTCTTGCCAGATAGAGGCATGAGAGTGTAAAATGCTAAACGTATACTTTGAATCAGTGTATATATTTATGACTTTGTCTTTTCCTAGTGTAAGAGCCCTTGTAAGTGCAACAAGTTCTGCCCTCTGGGAAGAGGTCCTAGGTGGCAGTGGATTTGCCTCTATAACTTTTGACTCATAACTTTTGACTATAACTTTGACTCAGCTCCAGTAGTCACACATCCTTCTCTAAAGGCTACCATTCTTCAGATTACTGAAGAGTTAACTATTGCATATCTTGCTGTTTTTTGGCTGTCTGTGTTTGTTGAACTGCCATCTATGAACCATGTGTCAAAGGCTAAAGAGAGAGGTGTGCTACTAATGTGAGGGAAAGGGGTGGGAGTCATCTGTAAGACCTCAACACATCACGGCGAGGATGGCCCTGGGAGGTGGAAAGTAAAGTTGCCACATTAAGAGGGCCACTAGTTGCAACAGAGATACAAGGGTCCTGAGAGAGGGCTAGGTGTACCTGTTGAAGCTGAGAACGGGCCATCAGAGCAGGGAGTGCCTTGTGTGAGATGAGCTTGTTTAGATGATGAGGTGAGTGTACTGTAATAGACTGCCCTAACGTAAACTTCTTAGCTTCCTGTGTCAGTAGGGCTGCAGCTGCAAGAGCTCAGACACAAGGAGCCCATCATTTTTCTGGGTAGCTTAAAATAACAGAAATTAATCCTCTCACAATTCTATAGGTTAAGAGTTTCCAGTCAAGGTGTGTTGGTAAGGTTAGCTCCTTGTGGAGGTCCTCAGGGGTGATCATTCCTTGCTTGTTTCAGCATCTGGTGCTGCCAACAGCCCTCAGCATGCCTGCAGCTCCATAATGCCAGTCGCTTTCTCAATCATCACGTGGTGTTCTTCCTGTTCATGTCTGTGTCTCCATCCCTTCTTTTTAAAAAAATTTTATTTAAAGAAAGACTAAACAAAACAGAAAATGGGTAGAAATAATACATATGTTCAGAGAAAAAATAAATAGTAAGAAATCACTCATCAATGTTTATATACTGTCCTTTTAAGTTGTTCAAGATACAAAACTGGAACATATAAAGTGGGAATTCAAACAGCGAGACTGCAAACGGTTCTGTTCAACTATCCAACAAAAACTTAGTAATATGGTGATCAATCTTATACACTTAAACATATATGCAGTTATCCACATCTTCGGTTATGCTGAGATTGAAGAAACCCAAGCAGTCTAATATAACTCTGGACAAAGAATAATACTGTTGCTGGGTTTCACATTATGACAATCCAGGATCATCACTGGGTACTTTAGTGTCTCTTTTATGAGATCAGTTCTCATAAACTGTTTATAGAGTCTATACAAGCATGAGTCTTAACATGTATTTCTATCCTTTCTATATTAGAGGGAGAAACAAAACAAAGCAAGACAAAACAAAACATATTCCTATAAACACATGAAACAAAAAAGACATATAAGACCATAGTACAAGGAGTTCTACCATAGTTCCTGTGTTGTCTCATTATCTTCAATAGAATTGGCTATATATCAGACATAGTATAGTTGAATATATCAGTACATAACAATATTAATAAAAACAGAACTTTGTATATAGTATAAAACTTCAAAAACAGGCAGTTATCAAACCAGAATATGTATCATAGAGTCTTGTCATCTTCAGTGTAGTTGCCTATACTCTCAGACCTGATACTATCAATCATGTCAGTTTTGAATAAAATCTGTAGATACCAAACAGTAATCAAACAAACGATATTTAACTAAGATTAGTCATGATAAAACAGTATAAGTCATACAGGGTGCTAGATTAAGATAATAGGAAATTAAAGATGATTACTGTGCTATATCCTGATGTTTTTGGGATAGCTGTCAGTGCCCTCAAATCTAATGCAAGTAGACAAACTGGCACAGAATAAAATCTATCAAAAAAAGAATAAAATCTATCTAAGCAGAGTGGTGCGAGTACTGTGGGTTTTAAATCCTGATACACTATTAACAATATCTTCTGCCATCTTTTTAAGACTCTCCCTCCCCTTTCACTTCCCCAGATTACACTGTGCATTTTTGGGTCTGACCAATGAATGCCCTTGGTTTTAAATTTGGGGGGGGGGACCTGCTATTTACCTAAGTGGTTCTGAACCCTCTCTCTCCTGGACTTGATCTGTAATTGTATTCCTTTACCTATTAAAGCCTGTCTTCCCAACCTATCCACAAATACTGGTCTAGTTGCCCCTGTTACTCTCTGGTTCTCTGTCACATACAGCATTGTTTTCTCATATTTGATTGTTAGTCCATATACTCTTTCCATGTTAATTATATTTCCTATAAATAGCATGTCAGTGGACCCTGCCTTCTGATCTACTCCACGTGTGTTTTTTTCTTTTATTTAGTGTATCAAGGCCATCTATATTAGAGATTATAACCAACCGTCTCGGCCTCATTTCTGTTAAGCTCTTTTTTGCCATCAGTTGTCTGCTTATCTTCTTTGTTCTGTTTTCTGCTCCATTCATTGAGGCTTCTCTGTCGCGGTTCCTGGAATCCTAGTACGTTTCTTTCTCTCTAGAATGCCCTAAAGTATTCTCTGTAGAGTTGGATTGGTGGTTGTGAATTCCCCAAATTTCTCTTTGTCTTGGAAGCATCTTGTTTCTCTGTTAATTTCTCGGGACAATTTATCAGGGTATATCAATCTGGGTTGGAGGTTATTTTCTTTCAGGGCTTTCTCTCAGGAATAGTTTGCTCCAGGATCTTCTTGACTTGATGACTTGTGTCAAGAAGTCTGCCATTATTCTGATGAAAGCCCATCCTTTTACTGTATTGTCTAACTGTTTTGACAAGTAGGCTACTGCTTCTTGTGTCCTAATATACCTACAGCATTGTGGCCTTGAGAGGTAGTATATAGAGTGAAAGGTTGGGTGGGGTCAGGAAGGGTAAGGGCTGGACCTCTTAGGAGAGCCTCTTTTAATTTATGAAAGGAGGCATGTATGGGCATAGTGGGGTCTAGGGGTCCTAATAAGGGACCCTTAGAGGCCTTGTAGAGGGGTTGAGCTAGAGCTGCAAAGTTAGGAATCTAGAGATGAAAGATATTAGCTAAATCTAGGAAAGATGTAACCTGTTGTTTAGTTGTGGGCGCCTGGAGATCTAGAAGAACAGCCTTATACAATCTGTAGTGATGGAACGAGTGGTAGGCATGAGAGAGAGACCTACATATTTGACTTTTGGGGAAGCTATTTGGGCTTTAGCAGGAGAGACCCTGTATCCACGACTGGGAAGGAAATTAAGGAAACTAGCTGAATGCTGTGTGGCCAGCGTATGGGATGGAGAACATAAGATAAGGTCATCTATGTATTGAAGGAGGATGCTAGGTTTGAGATCAAGTTCTGTAAAATCAGCAGTGAGTGCTTGGCTAAAGAAGTGGGGACTATCACTGAACCCTTGGGGGAGCACTGTCCAAGTAAGTTGTTGAGACCTGAGAGTGTCTGGATCGCTCCATGTAAACACAAAGAGATCCTGACAATCAGGGTGTAGGGGGATGTTAAAAAATGTATCTTTAAGATCTACAACTGTAAAGTGAGTGGTGGAAGGAGGGATATGAGACAGCATGGTATAAGGATTTGGCGCCACTGGGTGAGTTGGGGTAGCAGCACTATTGATTACCCTAAGGTCCTGCACTAAGCGATAGGACCCATCAGGCTTGAGTACCAGGAGAATTATAGGGGAATGGGTAGGTTTAAGATAACCATTGTCTAAAAGGAGCTTAATTATAGGTTTAAGCCTCTGTAAATGATTGGGAGCTACGGGATATTGGGGAACACAAGGAAAAATTGAAGGATACCTGAGATGATTTAAAATAGGCATGGCATGGGGAGTGCGGGTGGGACTGGAAATATCCCAAACTATGGGATCAACCAGAGAAGAAGAAAGGGGAGGGGATGACTTTGCGGCACACTGTGAGGCTGTTTGGAGGACTAGAGCTGTAGGGAGGGAGAAGGTAAAGGAGAAGTTAAGCTTTTGAAGGAGGTCTTTACCTAAAAGGGGTGTGGGGCATGTTGGAATGACTAGGAAGCTATGGGTAAAGAAGAGAGTCTGGAATCTGCATGGAATAGGCCAAGGCTGCGTAGGCTGGCCATCCACACCCACCACAGAGACTGAGGACTTAATACAAGGACCTGAAAACTCAGGAAGTACACTAAAAGTCACCCTCATGTCCACAAGTACATAGTGTCTTACCTGAGACCTCCAATGAGACTTAGAGCTCCAAGAAGGATACCTTAATGGAGGCTGTGGGCCCTGAGCCCCGTCAATCCTCAGCAGCAAGTCCAAGCAGATCAGTCAGTGATGAATCTGGTGGTGATGGCGTCTCCTGTGAGGGTGAGGAATTAGAGGACGGCTTACCTGCCCTCTGGTGGCTAGGACAGTTGCTCTTCCAGTGGCCCTTGAGGTTGCAATAGGGGCAAGGCCCCAAAGGAATGTCAGGACTGGGGCATTCTCTTGCCCAATGTCCTTTTATGCTGCACTTGAAGCATGGTCCGAGAGGGACTCAGGCAACTCTGCCTTGTTTTGGCTTTCTGTTTTGGGAGCCCCAAGTGCCACTGCTAAGAGATCAGACTGATATTTAGCAAAATTCTTTTTCTGTGCCTCTTTTTCCTCTTTTTGAGTTTTTTCACTGTTGTCGAAGACAGGGAAAGCTAAATTAAGAAGGTCTCCTTGTGCAGTTTGAGGGCCATTTTCAGCCTTTTGTAACTTTGCACGAATATCAGGAGCAGACTGAGAAATAAAATAAGAGTTAACAACAATCATCCCTTCATGAGAGTCTGGGTTTACATTAGTAAGCTTAATTAAGGTGTTCCTAAGCCAATTTAGGAACACAGCTAGGTTTTCATTTAGCCTCCTGGACCTGTTCTAAAAGTTTTTTATAGTTAGTATGTTTGTGAGCAATTTTATTAAGGTTCACAATTAGGCATTCAGTCATCTTATGCGTTTTATGAGAACCTTCTCCATTTTGGTAATTCCAGTTAGGATCTTGTTCTGGCACCACAGTAGGCCCAGAGTCATTTTCAGTGGTATTTGCCTTATGTCTGCGATTGGCTTCTTCTCGAGTTGCTTGCCACAGCTGAGATCGCTTTTGTGAGCTGAGGGTGGAGTTCAGAATCACATATATATCCTTAAAATGTAAGTCATAACAAGTAGTTATAAATCCAAATTCTCTGATATAATTCCGTGGATCAACAGAGAAGCAACCTAATTTATACCTAATCTGAGATAAGTCGGAAAGGGAGAAAAGTACATGTATATTAACAAGTCCCACATAGCCAACCTATTCTTGAAATAGCAGCAGAGATTGAGCCAGGAAAGACTGTGGAGTAGATGGTCATCGAGCAGCCAACCAACCGGCAGGCATGTGCGAGCAATTATCCAATGACTGGCTACAAAGCGGCTGCTCATCACCATGAGACAAGGAAATACGAGCTGCTGGCGTGTCACTGTGTGCCCCACAGCGATCCAGCTGCTGCTGGCAGCATGGTGAGTTATCATGTGATGTGACCCGCAGTAGGATGCTTTGCTGATTACACGAGGAGCCCCCAGGGGGCTGCCATTGACCGTGAGACCGGTCCCAAGATGGTGGTACCTTGCCACGTGGTGGAGGGCCGTAAGATGGTGGCTGTCCTCCACACTAGCTGCAGCCACCGTGTGGCCCACCGGAAGGCTGGAACACCTGAGACAGAGTATGGTGAGCAGGTAGAGAAAATGGCAATGCAGAGGAAGGGGACAAAGAACCCTCAAACAGGAGAGACAGCTCCAGCAGCAGGGAGAGAGAAGTTGGTGGAGACTGGATAGAAACACTGGGGGAGGGATTAGAGATGCTAGGGGAAGGATTGGAGGCCCCAGCGGAAGAATTAGAGACCCTCAGGGAAGGGTCAGAGGCCCCAGGGGAAGGATCAGAGGTCTAAGGGAAGGATTAGAGACCCTAGGGGAGGGATGAGGAGAGGACTGCCCTGGGGGTACAGAAACCTTTGGCTGAGAAGGCTGCTGGGGTTTCAGGGATGGGGGTGTTAAAGATGGGGGGCACATCATCTAAGGTGTCTTGGGGGTCAGGAGGGGAAAGTTTGTGGTGCAGTAGAACTAGCTAAAAATATTTGAGCTGCCATACATGATTTAATGAGAGAAGAGCACGTCCTTAGGGTAAGAAAGGCCTGTACATATGGAATTTCTGCTAACATATCACCAGTGTAACAAAAGTCATATAAATTTTTGAGAATACAGGGGTCAAAGTCCCCTCTTTCAGCCATTAAGTTCGCATAGGTCTGCCAGCCTCCTGACAGTAAAAGATTAATTGTTTAATTCTTATGGTTTTCTTTAGGCCAAGGATACCAAGGTTATGAACCAGGCGACCCAGAGGTGTGTTTTTTGGGGAGAGGAAAAAGTACTTCCCACACTTGAATTAAAGGTGAGCCAAAAGCCAGACCATGCCTAACCAGAAAAAAGATTGTCACCTATTTTTGGACACAGGGCTCCAACTCGTGCCTATTGGCCATCACCAAAAGGCATGGGTGGAGTCCCAGAGGACCACAGTAACGATTCTGCCTCAGACTGTCCAAGGAACGTGAGAATTGCTACTCCAGTTCAGGGACAGAATGGGTAATCTGGTGTGAGCCTGGCCCATGGTCACGGAGAAACCCTGGGATGGAGGTTGGCTCACCTGAGGTAAATGAATTAGGCTGGTATTGTTTGCAGGCCAGAGGCGACAAGTTGAGCAGCTCCCAAGTGTCGAGAGATGAGGAATTAATCCAGGATGTGGTCCAGCCCATGAATTGGCAGGGAGACTCAACCTGGGAGGACCCCAGGAGTCATTCAAACTGCTGTTCCTGGTCGGGAAACCAGATGATATGATTTTTAGCACAGTAGAAGAAAGAGAATATAAAGTAAAAATGGCCTTTATTCTAAGAACTCGGCGAGAAATCCCGTGACTGTCGGGGGCCTGGCTTTCTCTGTTGGACACATGATGTGGAGGGAACACATAGAGCTTTTGTCTGGGGTGGTGCCTAATGGTGGCATTGCTGATCCACGAGTAGCTGATTGGAGCTCTTTTCACACCACAGGTAAGTTGCCTAAAGGTGGGGAAAATGACCTCCAGGTAAAAGTCCCTTGGCCCGCCTCCCACTGCTGTAATGTCCTATGTAGGGAAAATCCTTTCACATATCCCAGCCAGTACCATGACCTCTCTCATTCTTTCCTTGCCTCTTGGGCTTCTTCTTAATCTCTCTTGGATGATTCTTCAACCACAGCCTTCAAGCCTGCCTTCTTCCTTTTCTCCTTATATTTTCCCTGGAGATCACATTACTATCTGATTTAAATTGCTTCTTTTAGACAACAACACAGAGAGCCACACCGTCCAGAGCCATTGCACTAACACTGGGGTCCTCGTGAGCCCTTCAGGCCACTTTCTCAGCTGGCTCCTTACTGCGCTTCCATCTCCCATGTTGCTAAGCCATCGGGGTTACACTTGCCTGCCTCACCCAGGCTCCCACGTTTGGTCTTGGCCCCCAGCTGTGAACACTGAAGCTCGATCTATTTTCTGTGGTTTGGACTTTGGTTTCTCCTCGGTGTTAAACCATTACATCCAAATTGCATGCTAGACATGGCCACCTAAATATCCTACAGACGTAGCAAACTCAGCATGTCCAAAATAAAACCACTTATAATTTCAGACCGTCACTTCAGAGACTGTTTTTCTCTTCTTATGGATGTAACTGCTTCCTACCAGTTTTCTGTCCTGAATATGCTATTTATTTGTCTCTTTTGAGTTGTATTTGTTTTTTGTTGCTGCATAACTAATTATCAGAAACTGAGAGGCTCACAAATGTTTGAAGCCTAGACACAACTCACCAGCTCCTTGCTCCTGGAGGCCTCTGGAAGTCCTCATTGTGTGGCCTCTCACAGTCTCCTTTGTAATACACCAATGTGCTTCTTTGAGACCAACAATGTCTCTGCTTTTTCTAGTCTCTGACCTCCAGATACTTTTAAGAAGGGCTTACCAATTTGGATGGGCTTATGTAGGATGGTTTTGCTTTTGATAAACCAAAAAAAAAAAAAAAATCAATGGATCAGAGATTTCAGTTACGTCTCCTCTGCCATATCACGTATCATAAGAGTGAATTTCATCACATTGACAGGCCCCAGCCATACTCAGGAGCAGGAATTATATAGCATGTGGTCAGTGGTGGGCAGGAATTCTGGGCCATCTCAGATTTCTGGCCACAATATCTAATCACTTCTTTTCTCACATGGTAGCCCCTTTCATTCAGGTCTTCCTGATTCTTCCTCTCCTAGTCCACCTAGCCTTGAATCCACCACTATTAGCAAAGTGATATTTTTGATGGATGAATATGACTAAACCATCACTCAGTTCATTCTTTGAAGGTTGCTCATGAAACGAATTCTTTTGTGTAACATAAAAACTGTCCCACGCCATAAAGACCCTTACTACTCTGCTTGCATCTCGCCTCGCAACATCAATTATCACGCTGCAGCAAGTGGACATATATTGCTCTGAATAAACAATACTTATTTTAGTCTTTCCATTCTGATCCAATATTTCTTTATGTTCTTGGCATCTCACCCTCCGTGATGCATACTGATTGTCTGACTAATAAGTACAACTGGCCTTCCAACTCTTATCTTCTCAGTGGTATTTTACAGATGTGGCCACTTTTTCCCCAGCTGCACTCCTTCCTGGGTTCACTGGTGTTGCCTTATGGGGCAGAAGAGGAAGTCACGTGCACCAAGGCATATCTGTAACCTGGTGGAAGAGAGACCCCCGTACATATGGGTGGGCATTGCAGCCAAGAGCCCTCCTGGGAAAAGAAGTCAAGCTCTGTATTTTTTCAAAATTCAGGCAAATCTGGTGATGTCTGCACAGCTGGCAGAGTGGCTGGCCTAGCTTGAGAATCTTTCAAGGAGGCCAAGAAGTCTCCTGGGAGGCTTTGATTCATTTCTTAGATAAGCTCACATTGTCCCATTTCTGTGGGTCTGAACCCAATGATCGTGAAGGGAAAGGCCTTAAATTACTTTGTAGTACATTTTATAGAATTTCTTTAGGATCCAAAACATTATGAAATGCAAGCAGGAAAAGGTCCGCAGGTCAGCTTGGTGCTGAGGAAGGTGCTGGAGGAGTGGGGAAGGTGACAGGAGAACGGAGTGACACTAGAGCAGGATTCAGAGGAAGAACCAGCAAACAGTGAAAAGCAGTGGGGAAAGAATTGAGGAAACAGAGAACGTGGATGATTATGCCAAATATTAGAAAACCAACAAACAAAGGTCACCCAGATAAACCAAAAGCACATGGCCATGGCCTGTGTCCAACCTCATTTGTGTTTGGTTTTGACACCCTGTCCTCATCTTTGGACACCTCTACAAACCTCGCATGGCCAAAAATTACCCCTCCGTAGGTGGGACAATTCAGGTACACAGTTGGCTATGCTCCTGTTGAACTCAAGACCTTAGGAGTCCTACCTAGTACCTGGTCCTGTCAGGACGTGAGCTCTGCTCCTGGTCCATCCCGAGGAGGGTGCTTTTACTGCTTTCACTTTTAATAAATCTTTCTCTTATTGTTCTTGTGATTGTCCTGCTCAATTCTGTGGGACTTGATTTCCCTGACACTGTCCATTGGTAACAGCATGGCCTCCAATAACTCTGAAAGCAGCTCTGGCTGAGCCTTAGGAAAGACTCTGGATTCCAGCTCAGTGGTGGCAGCATTTGGATCTGAAGGGAGAGGAGCGACATGGAGCAGCCATGAAATGACTGAGGAGACCTTAGTGTGGGAGCTTCTGTGGTGAAGTACACCGAATTGTCAAACCAGGAAACTTTTGCCACATAGTGCTATGACTTATACCTGGATGTCTCCTCAAAACCTCATGTGCTCAGAGATGGGGCTTTAGGGAGGCAGTTGGATCACTGGGGCGTGATACTCACAAGTGAATTTGTCCACTGATGAGTTGATAAATGAGTGTGCCTTTGGGAGGCAGAAGTGGGAACGTGGCCTGGCAGGATATAGCTCTTTGATCACTGTGCTTCCTGACTGCCATTCTATGAGCTGTTTCTCTCCTGCCATGCTCTTCTGCAATGCTACTCTGCCTTGGAATCTGTGGACTATAGACTGAAATCTCTACAAACTGTAAATCAAAACACACCTTTCCTCCCTTAAGATGTGGGTGTCTGGTACTGTGTCTCAACAAGAATGTAGGACACATCGCAATTCCCGATTTGAATGGTCATTGCTGTGCTCTCTTATGTTTTCAGAGACAAAACAGTTAATTCTTACTCCTTGGCTTATCTGAAATTAAATAATTGTTGGGATGGATGAATGAATGCTTTTTCACCATGTAGACATAAGCTTTTTAACTTATAGGAGCAATAAGTACATGGAAATTTGCAGACCCATTGGGGTCTAGTCTCGGGTAAAGGGTTTTGAGAAGTCTGTTGCAAGATTTAAACACTGCTACATAAAAGCGAATGTTCGTCATTCTTGTTATAAAACAGTAATTTACATTTGTCACCTATCATCACCTGTGGTGCACCTCATCCAGTGGAACTTCCTTTTGTCCGGTTCCCTGTAGAATGCATGTGGGACCAGTGAAGTGACAAGACAATCAGTGTGGAAAGCAGTTCCAAAGTACTTCCCACTTTGAAAACTATTGCCATAGATAATCTTCAGAGCCCTCTTCCCACTTCATATTTCTCTCTAACAGCGGAGAGATCCTATTTGACCATGAGACATAGAGTACTTGGAATCACCAACTGCTTATATTCCTACCCATCGTTAAAAAGAAAATGAATAAAAGGTGAAAGCTTTCTCTTGTTGGCCTGAAAGTTTGGCAAGGTTACAGACATGAACAGGAGTTTAGGATTGGATGTAGAGACACTGGTCAGCAAATTTGTGTGTGATTAAATGGCTGGTTCCAATGTAATTCCATTAGCCTCATTTTTTGTAAAACAGAAAATTCAAATGCTGTATTTGCAAATTACATCTGGGACTTCCTGGTGGTATTTGCTCCCCAGCTGGAATGCCTCTGTGAGTTGCCCTCTAATTCCTATTTATTTTTGCTTTATGCTTGAGCCCAATTCACATGTGGATCAGAAGGAAAGCACTTTGTGCAATCTTTTAACGGTTAAGATTGTCACCCATAGAGGTTTTGCAGGGTCCCAACAGTGTCACTCTTTTGACTACTGATCTTAGTGAAAAAAAGAGCTCACAGAAAATGTGACAAAATAGCAAACATATGAATGTAGCTTTAAAAAAAATGCATCTGTTTCAGTGATACTCATCTAACCATGACCTACACTATTCATGTTTTGAACTTGAATAGGGTATATTGTTTTGAAGCAAATAACCATCTATTTTGTGTGTTCATATTAAAACAGCATTATTTTCTAGATAATGTGAATTTA